AAGTGTAATCACAAGGTATAGAAAGTAAAGCTATATTTATATTCTGAGGTGTAAAATGGTCAAGTCAATGACTTTGGACAATTGCCAGTTGTGCATGCAACTTATTTTACTACTATTATGGACTATTGGACTATATTGGGTTATTTAGCTGAATTCATGTACCTGCAATGTTTCGACTGGCATCAGTTATTTAAAGGTCCTTTAAGACTTCTCCAAATATAGCTTGTCTAAAAGCAATGAGACACCCACTTCTGAAAAACCAAAACAAAATGGGGGCTATAAATAAAGGACAGTTTTTTTTTTTTTTGGTGAAAAAAAAAAAAAAATATATATATATATATATATATATATATATATATATATATACTTTCTCTTAGTTCAGTGAGAGGAATTGTTTGTACTAACATTGTTTAGACAAGCTATGGTAACTGCATCTTGTCCTCTGAATAATTAGTATGAAGACAACAATATGTGATATATCAATGATATTAACTGTCCTACAAACCTGTCTTGAAAGTGTCCAATTGTTATTTATTACTCATTAAAATTAACAAAAAATAAAAAATAAATGAATCAAGGTATCTCCTCATGTAGTGGGTGTTATAGGACACTTCTTTTTCACCTTACGCCACCATTTTCTAAATCATCAGTACTCATAGCTATCCACTATTAAACAATATGTGGTCCTATTTTTTCAGCATATCTGCATGTTGGATGAAGTCTTATGTTTTGATCCACATGTGTCTTTTGAAAGATCCCATCTAAACTATCACCACATCTTAGAAAAAGTTATTTCTGAAATCAGTCCAAAGTTCTATTTGAGTTTTTTTATTAGTTAATCAATTAATTCTAAGAATTCACAAAAAATTTGTTTCCTTAACTACTACACTCTGTTTTAGAGTCATTTTTCTATTTCTATAGCTAAGGGATCATCTTTTAATAGCTAACATTCTAACCAATGTTACAAAAATAATTATGTTGGTCCTATTAAAAAATATATAAACACTTTCACAGCAGTAATCTTCCAGATACTTACACTCAAAAATACTTGATAGGAATATTGATGTTACAGAAAGCACATTTATTCTAGGCTTCTATAGTACTAAGATATATAAGAGGAGTTAAGCCTGGGATCAATTTATCCATAGTTTAGCAATGACTAAGGACATCATAGTGTAACTGAATGTAGTGGTTGCTGGACTATGTAAACTTGAGTTAAGGAGCTTAACTAAATAAGTTCAGCCATTCTACAATTTAGAGTGTAGATGAGCTTGTGGCTCATCACTTAAAGTATATAGAAGGCAACTGAGGAAGCATGAAGTGTTCCATTTCTTTGGAGGGGCTCCAGTCTTCACTGTCAGCTTGGACATCATCTCTTGGCTTTTAGCACAGACTCCAGATTCCACCTTGGAATCATCAGTCTTTCACTGTAGACCCATCAGCTTCCTGATAAGGACTTGCATGGAACACTGCAGTAAGCTCCAGACCTTGGAATGAATCATTTAGTCTCCAGTACGCAGAAGCCCTCTGCAGGCTCACTCATTCAACTTGGTGGCTAATTGTCATAAGCCAATCTTGTAATTTATTATACATTTATACAACTTTCGTTACATCTGTTCCTCTAGTAAAGCCCTGACTGATATGCTGAGTATTAGATTCCTATAGAAATTTGAAAACATTAAACATTCCATTGTGATGAATGTGCTGTACTTGCATAAGGGAAACCCTTTTTGAGAATATGGCACATGAATATCCCTAACGATTTCCCTGCATATCATATAAGTAGGCAGTCCTTCAGTGCAGGACCTGAATTTTAGATTTCTCCTGGTCCTAATGACAGTAGCTTCACAAACTAATGTCTCTGGGAATAGAGAAAGAAAAATACCACACACACCATTACTTCACCTCAAAATGTTACCTTGACCAAGCCTGCTGTACTTGCAGGAAATATAATATTTTCTTCTCTCTCTTTTTTTGAAATATAATTTTTCTAAGAATTAGTCAAAGTTTAAATTTAGTAAATTTTTGCTTAAAAACCAATAGTAAGTAGTATTATAATGCTTAAAAGGTGCATTTTTTGGACTTATAGTCATGCATTAAGGCAAATATCTGTAGTTTGTGCTTCACTACAAAGAGAGGAATAATGAAATAGCCTATGAAATATTGTCATTCTCAGACAGATATTACATCTTCCCTTAAAATCTGACAGTTTGTTTTGGGAGGACATGAAGAATGGATATAAACCCATAAGCCCTTTTCTATCATCCTTCTATATATAGTTTTGGTGTCAAAGAGCACAGTTCAGTGGATGCTCCTACAGCCAAACACTCACTGAAGAAGACAAAGTCTGGCCACAGTTCACCCGTGTTGGAACCACAGGACATATGGTTGAACTCATCACTTGCTGCATGTACAAGTGTAACTTATTCCTTAAAGTCTCTGGGACCTGAGGCCTAACTCTCAGGGCGACTGCACCTCTGGAGATGTCAGAAGAAGAATAACAACCTAGCACAGGATTTCTACAGACATATCCTTTGGAGAAATAGCAGGATTGAAACACATGAGGTAAAATCTCCAAAAAGGAAACAAGCTAGGATGAACACACACACACACACACACACACAAAAGGAAACATCTCTGTAAAAATCATGGACTTAGGTTTTAAAGAAATGACATAAAACAGATGAAGAATATTCAAATATATGAGTGGCCTGTGTGTGTTTGTAGATAGTGTGTTGAATCTTAGCACTTTGGACAAACAAGAGGCACTGATTAAAAGAATATTTTTTCAAAATTCAAGCCACATGATATAAGAAACTTTGGCAATCATACAGCTTGAGAATTTTCAGTTGACACTTGAATTCACAAGTAGAAATGAAGAAAACTGATTTTTTAATATTAATTTTATTGAGAAGGAAATAGCATTGAGACAGTATCCAAACACATTCATAGAAAACTGATTTTGGAAGTCATTGAAAACTTGCTTGAAATACCGAAAGTCTCATTCACCTGTATCAAAAAGTCTGTGTATCACAGTTTCAACCACCCTAATCATTAGGATGTTTTTATAACAGGGAATAAAAAAATGAAAACAGACTTAGGACTGAATAATGTATCTGTAAGTATTCAAGAAATAGTTACTAAAATTCACAGCATACTGACCATGACACACATTGCCATATATATCAAAGGATTTAAATCCAATGGCCTCTATTTATTTATTCTTTTCCCCATAATTTTATTGAGAGACACATAGCCATGAGACAGTTTCAAAACAAATTGGTAGGACAGTTTCAATAATTAACACATTGCATACATTCTTCTTAGTGGTTAATTGCTGTACAAGACGCGGACATGATATCCTATTTACAAACACTATTATGGCTTCTATTTATGATAGTAAGGAAATTAACTAGAAATTGGTCACACAATATTGAACACATTGCTTCCAAAAATTTTTCATTAAGCAAATTTGAATATTTAAATATGATAATCTATGTTTCTTTATTGGATTATAATTTATTGGAAAATGACTGCAACTGAATGTTAAATTCCAAGGAAAATTAATTCTAACATCACCATTAGTACTGTTTTCTGCTGTTTAAATTCATATCTCCTTTCTAATTATAATAAAAATAAAATAATTTCCTCCTATAGCATGGAATTCTAAGTTACACTACAACATTATATATTTAGCAATTTACAAAAAAGGTAAGTATTTCAAATATGTATGTGGTGCACCTTTATTTTCTGAAATTTTGAGAAAAGAACAAAGTGCATCTTTAAATATGATTTGATTCTTGCAAATGTATCATAAACAGCAGAAATTACATTTTTATGGTTTTAAAATTTCTTTAATTGTGTAAGATTGCATAACATACTGCATATACTTGTTGAGTGGAGTGGTGGCTTGTAGAATACGACTTCATTGTTACCCTCATTTACCCCTAACCTTCTCCCAAAGTCGTGATCCCCATCCTATTTGAAAAATCACTTTTTTTCACCACAACCTAAAATTATCTTCTATATTTATTTTTATTTCCATTTTGGTTTTGTCAAATAATTCTGAAAAAAAGTAACATTTGTTTTAACAACCCTGAAAATCTCTCATGAAGTAAAATAATTTTATCACCAGCCCCACCCCCTGGGAGCGCTGAGCCAGCAATGGAGTCTGGGCTTGGTGGTGCACACCTGTAATCCCAGTACTAGGGAGGCTGAAAACAAGAGGATCACTATGAATGTGAGCTGCATAGTGAGACCCTGCAAAAAAAGTTTATGACGTTAAACATGGAATAAAATTTAATGGTCTCAACTGAAATATTTCAACAACAAATAATATATATTTTATTAACAAATTCTATCAATCTTTTTTAATTAATTTATTTATTTGTGTGTGTGTGTGTGTGTGTGTGTGTGTGTGTATGTGGCCAGCTCAGCCCACCAGGGGTCGGGGCTGGCTGGCATGTGGTGCTGGGGGATTGAACCGTGGTCCCTGTGCTTTGCTAAGCTTGTTCTAAGTAGGTGCTTTAGACCATTGAGCCATCTCACCAGCCCCTGTCTGTGGTTTTTGAAACCACTAAAGATCATAGCAAATGGCAGGTTTCTTATGAACATCCAGGCAGTCTTTTGGAGTCCTTGTTTCTTT